TGTGGAATGGGTATGTTCTCGTCGAGCAGGGCCGATGAGACCATTAACATGTACTGCGGCTACATTCACAGAGCGGGATGGTGAACAAAAGAGAACAGAAAGAGGTGGTTGCAGGGCGTACGTATTGAGTCAAGGGCTACAAGAGCATCATGGTCATAAGCCTAGCCTGAGACGGTGTGGCGAGGTATGCAGTATGCTGATTCCGCCCGCCTAGAGCACGAGAATATTAGCCCCCAAGCTTAGAGAAAACAACACAAGATCTACCTAATGTCCAACCATGCGAGTCGAGAAATACCTTGAAGAGCAATGTCTATGAGCTCTGAACAATGGGCAGGTAGGCACTTACCTCAGGCTCCGTCCTCTCTCTGTCATCTCGTCTGATCTTTCCTGCTGCAGCATCAAAGTCCGAGCTTTCATAGCAGAAAGGTGAGCCCAAGTCAAAGAGTTGGAATGTCAATGTAAGGAGTTATAACGGACTTATAAGAAAAGAAGTAGGGAGTTGGTCAAGATTTCAACGCATTTTGCCGGACCGGAGGGGACGTTTGGCCCACCATCGGGCCAAACTCTCATGATCGCTCACTCTGCGACTTCCTCACTCCGTGACTTCCCTCTCTCCTTCTGGCTTGGGGTTTCTTTCGCTCAGCTATGACAAGAAACAATGAAGGCAGACACCCTCAGGCTGCACCTGAATGACCGCCTCACAACAGCAGCCAAGCACTCAGAGGAAGAGCGCATAAGGGGAGACCCAGCGAGGGGAGACCCACAAAGTGAGTCATGACTGCCCTGAGTGTACTTCAAATTCCAAAGCTGACTTATGGCGCACACTCCACAGATGCCCCCCCATGCCCCTGAGCAGTTGAGCTTTCACCCTCACGGACACTCGACAACTTCAACGAGTGTACACACAATTCAAGGCTTACAACAGCCCGCACCCGCCTTCGACCTGTGGTCCCCGACAACATGTTCGGCAAAGTCCATACACAGGGTATACAGTATGTAGACACCCCCTTGTTCGTCCTCCTGCTGCACACTGACATCGCGACCCACAGAGAACCCGAGGCGCATACAGTTCCTGCACCACATTAAC